AAAATTCACGAGCTGCAGCAGAAGCATTTCCCTTGTTTTCGTAAAACAGTTTCGCCAATAACATACGCTCAACTAAAGAGACCGTCATTAGTACAGCCGGAAACATCGACTTAAACATGACAACGTCTGCAAACGTTTTATACCCTAACTTGTTTTGCATAACCTTCCTCTTCTTTCCAAGCATGCAAATATCGACATTTTTCTCCTACAGCTGACAGCTTTTCCCGGGTTTTGCATTTTATTACTTATAATTCTTGTTCTGGATTGTTAATATTGTTTCTGTATTCCGTTTTGGTCGATTATTGTGTTAAATTTCATATTTTCTCGAATAGGTGCCCTCTGGTGGACATTTTGGAACTAAAATTTTTTTTTAGAAATTCCGTAAGCGAATCTCATGTCTAGCCCATATACACAATTTCGTTGCATTCCGTTCACCTGTTTGAGCTGTAGAATGCCTTTTATGGGGGAAGTTTAATTATAACCACCCGGTATATTGTCTTTCAGTGCCCCTACCCCAAAAACATCATACACCACTTATTACAAAAATAAAAGTACTGACATACTCATATATTCAGAAAACATTGTACTGCATTTTTGAAACTAAGGTCTGGAGATTACGTATCATTCACAATGCCCAGCCTTATGCTTCATCTAGTTTTGCAAAAACATCCTGTTATTTGTAAATTGAATAAGATTTTACATCATTTGATGCTGATGATATGTACTACATACACTGGCATATCTTATCCTAAACTAAAAAAAACTACATCTCTGTCTAAAAGGTAATTCTTTGGATGTTTTCATTGCCCATGAGAAATTATAGCGGTCTGAGAGGAAACTTTATGAGTTAATTGTATAAAGCAACTGTATCATTATTGGGAAAAGAAATAAATTGTTCTTATAAAATTCTTATTTTATTTAAAACTTTTTATGACTCAAAATGCATTTCTCAAGTTAATCATTTAAGTTTTTTTTTTTTTTTTTTTTTTGTTGTTGTTGTTGTTGCTGTTGTTTGGAGGGAATCACAATTTGAAACTTATTTATTAAATATATAATGAGTTTTCATAAATTTCCTTTTCGCTTCGAATTTAATAATAGCAAACATATGTTGAATTAAATAGAACATACTGTTGAACTCTCAATTGACACCAGACTTAAAAATGAAATTTCAAATAGAAGATACGGTTAAATTCTGGACTTCATTATACCATTCAAAACGGAATATAATGAACCAAATGATGGTGCTTTAAAAATTATAATTCAGTTTGCTTGTAAGTATATGCATAAGAATAGGTTTTCATCACCAATTCAAATAAAAATTAACTGAAATTAACTTAATGTATATGCTAATCTCATACTTGAGCTTGCAAGAATACATCAAACACATAAGAGTTGTATGAGAATCAGTAGGCTCATCTGTCTCGTTAATGCAAGTTTAAGCATTTACGTTTTTTGTTAATTAATCCAAACAGCTCACTTCAGGTTTGGTACGAGCACAGTAGTATCTGGTTGTATTTGCGAAATGGTGATATGCGCTCCTTGTGTCCATGAATGGCCTGCTCCTCAGACACTTATGAAGTTGACATGTTTTCTGATATTCAAAATCTTACTCCGTACAGATAAAATCAAACACGTGGTGACGTGGCAGAGTTCCTTCAGTGCGCAAAATCGTTGGCTGCATATTTTGGTACTCCGAATCGTTACTAGGGCACTTCGGTACTCCAAATCGTTACTGGGGTACTTTGGTTCTCCAAATCGTTACTAGAGCAAACCATTACTAGGGTACTCCGGTACAGCAAACCGTTACTAGGGTACTCCGGTACAGCAAACCGTTACTCCAGTATTTCATTACTTCGGTACTCCAAATCGTTACTTGGGTACTCGGTACTTGAAATCGGTTTTCGGTACTTTTCAAAGTAACTGTTACTTGAGTAACGGGTATTTTGTACCGGGTACTTGTCTGTACCCGTTACTCTCGTACTGGGTACAAGAAAGTACCGAGTTGCTCATCACTAGACGAGACTAAGGTAATCTGCAGAATATTCTAATTTATAGACCCTCCCCCAAGAAAAAAGTTTGATAAACAGTGCCATAATACATATTGTAAAGGTGAATCAGTTCAGTTTCGAATCTAATGCATAGATTAAGGTGACTAGATTTCAAAGTTCAAAATTCGGGATATAATTTTTTTAACAAATAAATTATTTTATTGTTATTGTCGTGTTGATATGTAGGTCAAAATATATATATAATTTTTTTTTATAATAGTTCTAGTTTTAGTTGAATTTCTGTTCCTTATAGTTTCCTCCTGAAAAACTTTTTCTAATATCGTACATAAAGACATAAATACATAAATCAAAATAAATAATTTTTATTTATTTTTAATAGTGGATACATAACATTTTTTAATAAATAAAGAATGAATCAAAATGCAGTATTCATCTTTAAAAAATTAATTTGTAATCCTTTTAAATTATTTTGATGACGTAGCCTTATATTTTTCTAAGGCATTGAATATTTCTTAGAACATCTTTATCATTTTTGATCTTATATAAAAATCTGTTCAATTTTCAATAAAATTTATTTTGGTGATTAACATACCTTTCAAAGTGAATCTGTGTGAAGGCTGTGTCTTATCACTAGCCCCAAAACTGCTCGTAATGCTAATATTCGCTCAGTTGCAGCGGTAGTCTCATCAAGAGCAAAGAACTGAAGCATTTGAACAAGGAATCTGGTTCTTATTAAAATATGGAGTTATTTCCATTTACCTCTGAACTAGGGACATATTTTTTGGCCATTCGAATATTTTGTATTCTGTGATGTAATATTTAAAGGAAACACATTCCTCATATATATCAATTTCCAATAATTTATGATTTGATATCTTCTTCTTCTTTTTTTTTTTTTTTTTTTTAATTAACAAAAAGGCTGTTTCAACTTGACTCCAAGAAGAGATTTCATTTAATATGATCCAGCTATACGTTTCCATCTTCCGAAATATTTTTTTTTCCTCCAAATAAATAACAGCTGTCTGATAAAATGTTCTTGAAATTCAATAACTTCATATTGTGACTCCTCTGCATTCTTTTCAAGTTTTTCTAGAGTTTTTTTAATTTATTGAAATAAAGTTATCCTCTATCTTGAAGCTGTCAGAGCATCTGTTGAAGCAATTACCTCAAATACAGATGCAGTTTGATTTTCATTGTTGTCACCATTTTATGAAATACTCATGCCTAAGTGTTAATGAAATGTAGCCAAGCTTCTGCGACTGGATTTTCAAAGAATTTTAAAATAAGCATGGGGCACTTTTCTTGAGATTGAAAATAAGCCTTCCATGGTAAAAACATTTTGGAGTACCCTTTCAATGGCCTTTCAATGGCAAACAAGATGCTAACCATCTTGTTTGTGAATATCTTAGTATCGTCGAAAATTCCGTTTCTAGGAGTTACAGAAATTTCTCAATGTTTCTAATCTAACAGTATAAGATTTAGAATATACTATCTTAGAAATAATCTTTTCTATATCAAATGGGAAAACATCAGTCAATGTTCTTATTGTGTTATGGATAACATGCACTGAACATCCGACTCCAATCAAACCGTAGTTAAAGCTTTAATTTAACAAAAACCTTATTTTCTCCATGTTTGTCAGCTCTTCCAAAGTTAGAATTCTTACTATCTGCAAAAAAGGACCAATAACTTTTTCTTTTAAATTATTTTCTTGAAGACTTGTGAAATAGTTGCTAACAATATTGGGTGTTTCACCAGGTAAATGATTTAAATTCTAAACTCCTTAAATGTAACAAGTATTGGAAAAAGTTTTATTTCCTTGTGATTGGACTCATCAGTAAAGATCGAAATAAATGAACCTTTTTCCAAACCATTGTGGAAAGCTCTTAAAACGTAAGGCATGAAAACATTTAGTATTATTGCTTTGACCTTGTAAATTTGAAAAAGTTAAGTAAGTTTGAGCTTAAATTTACATGTGCGGCCTGTTCAAATGCCTTAGACCTAAGAATTATTTTTAGATGCCTTGTAATAATATGTAAGGGGATGATACATACTAACTTATGTTCTGTACCGTTGAACACGTATGTAATGTGATAATTAAAAAATTTTTAATTATATAATAATAAGTGAAGGTCTAAAACTAAACCTCTGTTTTCGGAAATTCCACTGATCAAAATTAAATCATCGTGTATGCTAGGGCCTGTAATTGAAGGTCTGAAGAGAAATGCAGGTATGACAAATAGAATCCCCCCCCCCCAACTACAATTTTTCTAAGGTAAACGCTAGATGAGGAATCACCTGTTTATGCAGCCGGTATAGCACGTCTCATAACTTGAATTCTCAGTTTGCAATCTACACTACTTAAATATATTGCAGTTAAACTTTTATGTTCTCACGCTACCGTTTTTCAGGACAAATTTTATAAATTCAGGACCAAAAAATGAGTCATAAAAATCGGGAGAGGTGATGTAGCGCCTTTTACTCACACGATGAAATGCTACAAAAACATAAAATATGTCTATAAAGGAAAGAATTAGAAATATCTCATCTGTTGAAGATCTTCTGAATAATTTTAGCAATGCAGAAATAAGATATTGTAAAAAAGCGTATTTCTGCCTTGCTAAAATTATTCAGAAGTTTTCAGTTGCTGGAACTGTTTCTTGGAAGGTTTCTTCTTTCATCAAAATTATCTTATTTAATACATCTCATTCTAGTTCTCACTTACCTCCACCATTTTATCATTTGATAGTAATTTTTTTAAAACACATTTTCCTATTTGTTAAAAAATGTTGAAATTATTGCCATTTTTATTTAGTCTTACCAAAATTAAGGCTAAAGATCATTGACTAAAATTGCAAAAAAGTAATACATCATGGGCAGATAGCTCTAGTGTGTGTTGCTTTAAATAATTGTTTTAGAGTAATTTATTTAATAAGTGTGTAATATAACACCTTACCTCTATTTTAATCATATAATTCTTTTTGTTTGCAGCAGAATCATTTGTTGGAAAAGGGCAAATAATTAAAGGTATAAGAAAACATGCAAAGATGAGATTTGGTATTATACATTACAGATATTGCCATTACTTTGTCCGTTTAGTGGAAGGACCACCACCAAAGCATTACTATACACCAGAACTTACTGGTAATGAAAAACTGGAAGAATATTTTGCTGAACTAAGAGCAAGGAGGATACATAGAACATTATGAAAATGTTATTCCTGCTACAAAATAATCATTATATATTTCTTTTATCAATATATGTTTTAATTTTTGTTTGGAATTTTCAGCTCTTTCCATAGTGTAATAAAATGCTCATCTTTTGTAGCAAAAGGTATATAGGAAAAAATATATCTTAATAGTGTATTTGTTGTGAATTCTTTTTTCCCTTTTTATCAAAATGCATTTTTTTCTGTAACAGTATTTTGATGAAACATATAGGGTTACAGGAGTAGAAAACTTTAGATGGGAATAATTGTTTTCAACTGTAACAAATCTTAAATAAACCATCTGAACGTTTTCAATGAAAATTAATTAATTCAGATACATCTGCAGAAAAGATTCTGTGATTTATTTTAATATTTAATTTGTATGTGACCACTTCCAAACTAGCTGCAGTACCTGCTTTGGAAAATGGAATGGCTATGAAAGCAGTGTTCATTACCTTCTTAATGATATAGCCAGTTATAAATAATTCAAATTCAGAAGTTATATTAATAAAAATTTGTGACATCAAATTAAAAAATTATACAACTGAGCTGATTAACACTAGAACGGCGGGAAAAACTTACCTACTTTTTGGAAATGACGGTATGGGGTCATTTTAACCCTTTGATGAAAGTACTGAAATAACAGTGGTACAACAATTTTAAATGCCATACATTGGCACAAATATGTACTTTATATGTATTTCATAATTTATATTTAATATCACTTGATAATTTATTGACTTTTTAAAATACCGTAAATGTATCGAGTACATGGCGATCAACTGGATCATACTAAAATTACTATAAGAATTTATTTCAAATACATGGTTTCACAAACTAAAACTAATGTTAACTAAAATAAAACACAATTTATATAATAATATTTTTTATGTACCTACTCGGAGGATGATTCACTCTCTAAATCCAGAAATGAGAAATGTTCTCTGATGTTTCAGTTATATCATTATATGTGTAGCTGAATGGAATATGTAAATCATTTCAATTATATTTAATGTGTAAAATATTAGAGATTAGATATACCTATTAAGAATTAATGCAGTTGATACAAAAATAATTTATAACAATTTTTCCAATGCATTTTCCGCACACAACTTTGGAACAAGATGCACAATATTCTTGAGATTTGTTTCCATTGCATCTCTGTACTAGACGAGTCCGTGACACCTTACCGACAGGACATTTAGCCGACACGGACACTTAGCCAACACGGGACAGTTAGCTGACAGGACATTTAAACGACAAGGACATTTGCCTACAGGACATTTGGCCGACACAGAGAGCTAGCCGTCAGGACATTTAGCTACGGGACACTTAACTGTCAAGACATTTAGTCAACAGGATACTAAGCCAACAGTGACGTTTAACTAACACATACCCAAAAATTATTTAAATGTACTATCAATTACAAAATTTCTCGACCTTCTCCATAAGTTCAATATTTAAGATAATTTTCACCTATCAGTAAAATTTATTTTTCGATTCTGATAGATCTCATATGTGCTTTTAATTATTATGTTAATTTAGCATTTTTTTATATGTATCGTGTGCTGTTTGGTATATATTGGCCAAACTGGAAAAGCGCTGAAATTTCTCATCAGGGAATATGAATTAAATTTCAAAAGGAAAAAAAATCTTTTTAGCTAAGTCGGTGGTCCTTAATTACATTTGGGATCTTCAAAAATTACCGAAAGTTTTTCATTAAATCAACTGGTCTTTGAACCTTCACATCATTAATACTTTTTCTTGTTTACTTAACGATAATTTTCCAATCTCTCTTCCAATGCTTTCAAATTTCTTTACGTTTCATTACTATTTCTCAATACATCATATACATTCTTTTCTTTACAAAATCGTTTGCTCCTTCCACAAATAAAATGCCGTTCCTGTCAAGAAAAATCTAAATAAGGCAATAAAAATTGTTATTCTTGAATTAACTTTTTATAGAAATATGATGGTGAAGGTTAGTTTGAAATATATATTATTTGTTATTAGAAACATTAAAAAAAAGTGCACCACACCAAAGGTATAAATTTTGACCTCTATAATGGGCTGTTCATGCCACCATTTTGAAATAAAAATTCTGTAACATTTTACTGACCAAGCCTCTCTCTCAAAATATTAGGTTAATGTTTATAGCACTAAACTGGTGCATTATTTTATTTACGAGGGTTGGAACTTTAATAGTGGCAATATTTATTTACAGAATACAAAAGTGATTCAGTCACCATGTTTTCAGTCTTCAGTATAGTCGCCAGGATTGGTACAACCCGTTTCCAACGATGTGGAAGTCGGAAATACCTGTAGAAGCGCTGTTTTTGTTGATAGTTTAATGAACTGGTCTACTGCCGCAAGAATCTCAGGAACAGTTTGGAAGCGAGTGCCACAAAGTGATTCCTTCATCTTAGAAATTAAGTCATAGTCACAAGGGCTTAGATCTGGGAGTATGGGGATAGTACGCACTTCCCGCCCCATCGCTTGAACAAATCAGCTACAGCTTGCACGCATGCAGCCGAGCATTGTCATGCAAAATGAGAGGAGCGTTCTGCAGAAGTGTCCCGCCATTTTTTCTCACAGCTGGTTTTGGAGATTGTGCTCCAAAAATGAGCAGTAATACTGCGCAGTGTCAGTCTGCTGTGGAGGAACAAAATGCGTTAGGAGACACCATCACAGTCGTACACGATCAATCACCATAACTTCCACATTGCTGGGGTTCTGACGAAATTTCGAACTGTGATGACGCCATTCGTTGACTGGCCTTTCAGTTCTGGCTGTACGATCGGGCCCAAGTCTTATCCAGCGTAATGATACGGCGTAAAAGCATCTCCTTCGCGCTCTTAGCGCTTCAGGTGAGTTCGGGCAGCATCATATCGTAGCATTTTCTGCATTTCTGTCACTGGGTGAACCCATGTGAAGCATTTTTCTCATGGACAGGCATTCCTTCAGAATGTGCAGCACAGTCATATGCGCTAATCCTGTTTGTCTGGCCAGCTGATGAATCGTTTGGCGGCGATCACTGTCCATTAGTGTGGCAACAGCTTGCGCGTCTGCATCGCTGACACTCGGACAACCTGGCAGCAGCATGTCTGCCACGTTTTGCCGTTCTTCGTTGAATGCTTTCACCCATCTTGCTACGGTTCTGTAAGGTGATGCAGATTCCCTGCAAACCTCTTGAAGCCCTTGATGACACTGTCGTGCTGTACGACCTCTGGCATATTCAATTTTTATCCAACATCTTTGTTCTTGTTTTGAAAACATCCTGACAACACTTACTTAGAAGACCGCGAGCTAATAAAATTCCATTCTTTCCGTCACCTCGCTGCACGTGACATGCAGACGATCTTTTTGCAGAGAGTAACGTGGTATATGCGATATTCTTTGGTTTTGTTGCGTAGCGTTTTTTCAGCTGTGTTGCCACTATTAAAGTTCCAACCCTCATAGAAGAAATATTCTTTAAGGTTTTATTTCATTCATAACAGAATTCTATTCTCAAAAACTACATTTTTCACTCTTCATATATCGAAAATGTTGCCGATATGAAATTCTGGACGTTGGAAAATTTCCAAAGAGAAATCGGAGGAATCTGCGGAAGGAGGAGCAGCAAGCAGGGCGGAGCAAAGCGAGACATCCTGAAAAGTCACCATAATGTGTTGCCATCTATCAGAGCTAGATTTAACTAGATCAGTCATGTAACTAGGTAATATTATGTACTCTGTTTTGAAAGTCACGATGTGTAATTTTCAATATGTTATATCGTGTCATGTTTTTCTCATAAAATGTAACTTTCTCAATATCTGTTAAAAATGTATAAATTTTCATTAACTTTTTTTTTCTCTTTCTCGTTTCTGTTGTAGCTACATGGTAATAGGGAAATTTTTGTGTTCATTTTCCTGAATGCATTTATAAGTTTCTAGCCTAAAAGGGCAATTTTATTGGAAGAGACTGGTTATATATTAAGTAAAAAGGTTACTCTATTTCTGTTAAGCCCAGCAGCGGCCGAGCGGTATAAAGTCACTGAACATTGGCAGTTCGATCCGAATTTCGAATCCCGCGAACGGACAGGCTGCATAGGTGTTTTCCCCATGTGTAACATGTATACGAGCCAGTTTTCCTTAGAAAGTCCTCCACGGAGGTATCCCTTCCGTTATGCAGATTGCCCTCTGGCTTTACCGTAATTGCATAAACCAAACTTACTTCTTGCCGCAGGCCACTAGGTATGAATTCCCCTGCCGGAGTACTATTCCACATTAATAAATATGCGATGCCTAACCTGTAATTGTATAGGGTGTAAATAGCATTTTAGATTTAAAAAAAAGTAGCTCCAGTGTGGCGAGGAGTAGGGTGAATCACTCTACTTCCTGACAGGGAAAGGAAATTTCATTAGTGGGAGGAGCGAAACAACTTTATACGGGAATGAATGTAGTGCGATGTGTTGAGCAAAGTAGTAATGAAATGTGAAAGTATTAGAAATTTAAAACCATTGGGAAGAGTGAGACTCGTCGGCTTAATGTCATGTCAGCTAAATCTCCTGTCGGCTAAATGTCTTGTCAGTTAAGTGTACCGTCGGCGAAGTGTTCGCGACTAGTACTAGACACTTTTTTCTCTTTATATCCATATTCTTTTCATGTGTTTTTTCTGATGACTCAGGAAAGATCTTTGGGAGTTTTGAAGCCATATCCCATTCTTAACTCCTCTCCTAATTTCAGTGGAAAATCTCTCCTGTTAATGGTGTTTCCTGTTACACTTTTATAAATTATCCAGGTGTTCAAAGCTATGGATCCAAAATTGAAAAAGGTACAGCCATCGTATAGAAGCCGATTAATTGAATATTTTTCGGCACACCCTGAATCACGAATATCCACCCATACTTTGTTGCGTTGTAAATGCTATTGAATCGGGCAACTTCTTGAGACTGTCTTCAGTTTTTACAGTAGAATGTAATGAGCTCAGTAGAAAAACGCTTTTGTTTCTTTTGCTTTGATAGATGATAAGTGTGATATTATCATGTTCCACTATTGACGATAAATAAAGATTACTACGCATATTTTTCAAAGATATAGGAATTCCTCTTCTATTCTTTATCACTGTGCCGACCATAGTTGTATTTTTTGATTTTAGCATTTCTGTTAATTTAATGCTAGTAAAATAGTTATCCGTGGTAATATTTCTCCCTTTGTATAGATGTGGCTCCATTAATTTTGTGACAACATTTTCAGACAAACTTAATTGAGGATTTGCTGTTTCATCTTTTCCTACATAAGTAAATCTATTCAACAGGTATTTAGTATCAACGTTGACAGATAACCAAAATTTTATTTCAAATTTGTCAGGTTTATTAGGCATATACTGTGTAAATCTACACCTAGCTTTAGAGGGGAATATTTGTCTTCAACTGTAACATTTTGCAATTTTAAATAAATTTGTTTCACATGTCTGATGCAAGAGCAAATTTATCAGTCTGTAATCGAGTAGATCTTGTTTTCTTTTCATCGAACCTTAAAAATTATTTTATTTCATTGAATCTATCTCTTGATATAGTTTCTTTGAAAAATGGTATTCCCCATGCTTCGGACCACAAGGAATATAAATCTATGCCCTTTGCTCCTGTTACTCCTTGAACATACAATATAGTGACAAAAGCATCTAATTCAGCCAGAGATAACTTCCAGTCTTTATTTCCACGCTGCCTAAAAGCTTTGGATTCTGTATATTTCTTTATATACAGCAAGATATCATCATCAATAAAACGCTTGAAAGCACTAGACACTTTGTCCTCAGAAACACGACTCTGCAAAAGATGTTGGTCCTGCCATTTCTTTTAGAATGTTATAAGCAGGAACACGGCCGCAGACTGAATTTTTGTAATTTATTTCATTCCATATAGTGTTATCAAGAACTGTAAAAACAGTTTTGCAAATAACCTGATCCGTTTTTGCCCATTTATTTCTCCCGAGTTCTTCCTGTTTACTTCGCTGTCCTAATAATTTGTGTCTGGAATTCATCTTCAGTTTCTACAGAAAAATTATCAATTTCACCCTCCGTCAGACTCATTTTCAGATAGCTCCTGTAAGAATTTTTTAAATTCTTCATATATTTTAGCATATGGTTCTCACAGCGTAAAGGAAAGGTGGATAATGAACTTGACGGCAGAATTCATATGTACTGAAATACTGATTTGGAATTACCAAGAAAACATCTGTCCTAACTATTATCACCTGCAGTAAGTACACTGAACTAACAAACAGGAAAATACCTATGTAAAATAAACTATTTCTGAAAAGAAATGTAAGTATGAAAACCCCTGCATCTAACCTTCCTTGCAGTACTTTCTTCAAGCAAATAGATAATTGCGAACAAAGGAACAACTTATGTAGACATTACAAAGTACCCAGGTGATACCACCCAGGTCTTTATCCCTCTAGAAGATAGTATGAATGCAATCGAAAAATCTTTATCAGTGAATGTTTTTCAATGGGTTATTTGACAATGCCTCGAGCAGAAAGAGGGATAAAAGTAAAGGGGTGAAAATGATCCCCGTCTGCCGTTCTAGGAATACATGCCAATATTTTAAAAACTAACAAACCTAGAATGCTGAAAATTTTTTTAAAAATATGCTATCTATTTAGGAAAAGTCAAAAAATTCCAAACAATTTCTTCCAATAAAACAAAAGTAATCAATGGTCAAAAGTTGACCCCTACCGCCATTCTAGTGTTAAATGCTACCTTTTTATTATTAATTCCAGTAACAACAGAATAAGAAACACATGAAATTTGCCTTTGACTAAACTGCAATAAATAGTTCTTTGCATCCATTTCAAAGATATTATTTATATCCATAATTTTCAGATTTGAAATTGTTTTTACGATACAGGTAATTATGGGCAGCAGTAGATAAAGTAATGAAGTCTTGGTAGTATGCCCTAGGTTCTGTGTCTAACTGCTGACAATCTGATTGAAATTTCCTTGCGTCTTGACAATGCACATGAGAAAATTTCATGTGTAATATATACTGGTGGTTTTCTCATTGGAAGTCTTTCATTAATACATACCTTTGATAAGCAGGTAGAGTGCCATAATAAAACACAGCAGAATCCTTTTTTTATTATTCTAATCAAGTTCCATTGCAAATAATTCGTGATCAAACTCATTTTTATAAAATGGGAAAATAAAAAATTTTGAACATACGATTTACTCTAAAAGTAAGCAATATTTTTGAGAACATAAATAAACACTAATATTGAACATAATAAATAACCATATCCTTGAGGCAGTTATATCAGCAGTTAGGGTATTGGGGAAACCAATACAACTTAAAATGACACAAAAATTGAACAATGCAACTTAAAATGATCAGATCCTGTTCTGTATTTATAATGAGACTCTTTTAAAATCCGTTAATATTCAGATATTCTAAATTTCATTTTATAATTTTCTTAAATCTTTATACTGAACAAATCCAGATTGTCATCATGCGATTGGTCACCAGAGTTAGGCACATTCTGGAAATTGATTTCTACAAGTTGTGTCTACTAAATAATTCAGTTGTTGCCATGGAAGATGAAACAGATGTCAAAATTTAGTTCCATATAATAAAGTTGAAAATCTTCCTCGCAATAGCTGTTAAGCATTTATCAATCTTTTTTACAGTAACTAGAAGAGTTTCCAAAGTACTAGCAAACTGACATCCCACTGGACTTAAGGTAAAAATAGCAAGCTGTGCAAATATTTAAAATAGCAGAGACAACTCCATCGTTCTGGGCTCATTAAAGTAAGAACAGCAAGCTGTAGTATAATATTTGATACACGGTTTATAGGGTCCTTGGGTTTTTGGGAATCGATTTTTTATTCTTAAAAGTCCTTAATAAAACAAATTAGTTAATTCTAGCCAAAAACAGCAGAAGGTCTTTAATTTTAACCATCTGAAATTTCTGTCTGTTTTTACGACTGCCATTTAAGTAAAGCAAGTAAGTGACACAAAATGAAACATAAAAAGAAAAACACACACACATCATAAAGCTAACTGTTAGTAAACAGAAATGGCACTGATCTCTTTCAAAATGTCCAACTATACAATGAAAAATTTAATGCTACTTGATACATTTTATAAAGTTATTTATTCTCAAACTCATTATACTGATTTTGTTAATGCATCTTGATAATATCATCCACTTACGGATCTATTTTATTAGATGTATTACAAAGTGAATTTCAGGCATAGATATATTTTTAATTGAATTGACTCAGTTCCCATTTGCTCACAAGTCCTTAATTTTTTCATTAATGGTCCTTAAAAGTACTTAATTTCCCTGTGCAGAAATGTGTACGAAAGCTGTAATAGCAAAGACACCTCTATCATTCTTCTGCCATCAAAAACCACAGAACAGCTCATCATTCCACCTTTGATAATTCCATTTTGGATTTTTTTATATAGAGTAGATTACCTCAATTTATCCCTCTAGTGTGCCACTAGTACATGTGTTTATAATTTTTCTATTTACAACTGCTTTCCTTGCAGATAGTGTTTCTACTTGAAAAAAATATTTTTTTTTTTTTTAAATTTATGTAAGTCTTTGAAAAAGAGTTAAATTAACACTTAAATCTTGAAAGACGGCATAGAGCTATTATTTGAAAATGTATTAGTATCATCAGCACCTACTGATGCACATATAGTTTTACATCAACATATATAAATCATTACCCAAAATGCAAAACAGATTTTTACCTTACAAAAAATGAAAACATTTTATATTTTTAATTCTTTATTTACAAAGTTATTTTGTCAACAAATGAAAAACAAAATGCATAAATTAGTGAACAACTTTATTTTCTGGGATATGCATTTCTTTTTCCTCTGTAAGGTCTTCCATGCTGAAAAAATATATAATATATGTGAATAACAATTATAGTAAGAGTTAGTACAAGTTACTTAAATACATATTTGTTATGAAAAATTAAGTTAAAGAAAATCAAATAGAGAGTTCATATTAAAATTTCTTAATTATGTTTCAGTCAGCTTATTTTTTTAATATAAAAGAAAAAATAGATGCTACAGGAAAAAAAAATGATGGCATAACAAATTTATATTAATTAGCATTTATTATAAAATGGGAAAACTGACATTAGTTATTTCTAATAAACAGTATAGCTCCAGCAAGATCTTCTTTGTTGGATGGCCATAGATCCGATTTGATAAACTTCAGAGCTGAGAAGAGTCTTTCCACACTAACTTGAGTAGGAGGAAGAGCTGTTACTGTTAGGGCTACTTCTTTTAGCTTTTCAGGATAGACTTTTATAAGTTCAAAAAGAGGTATTCTTGCAAGCACATCATATTTCTTCAAAGGCTGTGTATAAATCTTGTTTGTGTTTTTTCATTTTATATCTATAGGCTCTTGGTTATTTATTTTCATTCGCTTGCCTTAGCCTTTTTAATATTATCCAAATATTTCTCAATCTAATTCATCAGTGGAAATGGATGATAGAGACTCAGTTGCAATATCTGTAGTTTGACTGTCCTGATTTGAATATTCCAGTTCTGAGAATAATTTTATTCTTAATGAAAGTTCATAGATGGCTTTTTTTGCGTTTTTAATTTGTTTGTCATCCAGAAAATTCAGTGTTTCAGATCTACATATATTGAATCCAGCAAGATCTCATTGTGTAGCAACTAGTTTCTCTTTTCTCATTGAGAAATGATTCCTTCTGCAACAAACCCTCCATTTCAGAAAGAACAAACTTCCATTCTCCATTCCTCGCCTCCCTGGCATTCTTCAGATTGCAGCTTTTTTTGTGGCTATATACGTGTAAAGAAGAGTTTTCCAATTCTGCAAGATCATTCCACAGTCTTTTTGCTAGTGAAACATTAGAAACATCTAAAAAAGTTCTTAATTCTAACAATCCCTTTATCATCAAATATGTACTTCCTTATCACATTGCTTGATCAATAATTGCTCCTTTTCCTGTTCGCTTCCTAAGAATGCATCAATTTTGGGAGTTGTTGCTGCTTACCTAAATTTACCAGTGAGATTTGTAACTAAATGAATCAGTTTAATCACCAATGGCAAATATCATATCCATGCTCCTCCCTTATATTTATTTACTAATATGTTGTCAATGAAATAGAAACTAACTATTTATTAATGTATATAGTCCATAAATAAAAATAATAACTCAGGGTTGTCATTAATTTTTTCAATTTATTTTAATTTCATTTCAAATTCAAACTGTGCAACAAAACCTGGAGTCGGAGTTTACATGTTTTTAGCGACTCCAGCTTAGACTCCTTTTACCCCAAAATCTGCTCCGGCTCCACAGCCCTGGCGATAGCGCTTGTTTTATTTTATGTCGAGAAATACCAAGCGGCGAAGCAACGCAAAAAGTAAGTAAAAAATTAATCTAGATTTACTGTTTAACTTTTTGATGTATCCCCAAAAATGTAGGATGAATCGAAAAGGTTCGAAATGTACTGGGTTTTCTTGACATAAAATATCAACAGCACGAACATGCTGCTTGGGACTCAAACATGCTGCTTGGGTTACGGATAAACTAGTGCAAAAGAATTAGAGATACATTTAATTTAAATACTTACTACAGCTTAAATTTCTCTCAAATAGAAAAATACATATTTTCAGATCTATATCCTTATACTAATTTCCATTTCTTGATATTATACAGTAATTAAAGATAAACAACTGCAAAGGAATTGGAGATACATTTCATTTGCATACTTATTGCAGCTTATATAAAAAAGAAATATTTAATATAGAAAAAAAATATTTAATGTTTTTATTTACCCACCAAATCAAGGTAAAATAAAATATCCTTGCTTGTAAAGTATAAACCCAAGTTATTTTAAACTTGTCTTTCATAGGCATTTAATGCATTTACTAACAGTCAAAATATAATTTAAAACTTCTTTCAGTTAATTAGTCACAAATAAATCTGTAATTATCTAGACACAGTTAAAACTCAGTTCAGCATTTCTGCAAGTTTCAATTTTTCACATCCTCATCATGAATTTTAATACAAACATTTACGACAATATTTCAAATCAGAATTCACCATTATGGCATAGGCAGTTCTTTGTTCGCAAATCATGGTACTGTTGACCATGAACTATTCTGCTCAAATATCAATGCAAGGACAAAATTCTGTACCAGACCATCACTTGTGATAAAAAGTGAATTTACTTTAACAACACAGGCCAGAAAGGGAAGTTTATGTGCACCCGGTGAGACCATCGGCAGCATTGCAAAGTGCAATTTGACTAACAAAAAAGATCATGCTTTCTATCTGTTGAGATTACCGTGCTATTATACACATAGAAAAAGGCTCGACAGTAAGGTTAGTCCACATCAACGCTGCTATGGAGAGAAAACGTCAAACTAAGTTCCAAGGCAAAATGGTAATGTTCCATCAAGATAATGCAAAAACACATGTGTCTACATTCACCAGCTAAACTCTATGGACTTAAATGGGATCTTTTGCTACACACATCATATAGCTCCGACACTGGACCTTTTTCACACCCGCAGCTACATTTCGTTATTGCTTAACTTCCATTCTGCACAGGACGTCCGAAATTGGGTTGATACGTTTTTGGACTTAGAGCCACCAAGTTTCTGGGTCGAAGGCTTTGAAAAAACTACCAAAATATTGGCAGAAAATCATAGATTTGGATGGTGATTACTAACCACACTAAAGGTACTGCTTTAATTTTTTTTTCTAACTTTATAAAGAATGATTTTTGACAGGAAACATTGGTTACAGCCAGATATACACTAAGGACTGGATTAATGCATTTTAAATAATGAATATATGTATAACATATTTAATACAGCTTGTACAGGTTTGATTTGAAGACTGTTTTTATTACATTAAAAAATGTAAATAATGTTGAGATAGGTCCTTAATGAAATTAATCTTTCATTCTCCCCTCATAAAGTAATAATTTAATTAATATATTTTGAATAATTATGTAAATCTTTTGTAAACCTTAAATAGATTTAATACAACACACACAGATTTCAAAGGCTAACATTAAAATAGTTAGTATGCAGACAAGTTGCTCACTTTCAATTTTCTGAATTTTTCAAGACTATATTGAATTAGTTATGAATATTAAGTATGAGCTACTGAATTATTTATGCATTTACTACAAAATACAGCAAATAAGTACAACATGATAAAAATTTGATTTATCTCGTTCATTATAGATGGAAATAAAAAAATATAAATATGAAATATACATCTAAACTATTTAAAAATGCAAGTAAGATTTCTAAAAAAGAACTATCAAATTCAAAGAAAAGTTGTATATTTTGCAAAAGAAATTACAAAAAGTGCATCATTTACAATAAATATTTCTTTTATAGTGTTCTAAAGTGAAAAATAAGGAGATAAGAATTAAACTAGATTATGAAAAAACTAGCAATTAGCGAAGTTCAAAATTCAGACATCCAATAACTGAACCTCTTTTTTTTTTTTTTTTTTTTAATTTATTTTTTCTTATAAAGTTTAGAAATGGAAAATACAATAGTCAAGAAAAAGCAGGTGTATTGTAAAAGACATTCCCCCCCCCCCACAATTTACTGAGATTTTTACATGTTACTTTCAAACATCTGCTAGCTAAGGAACCACACCTTGACTAATGACAATACATTGAGTACCAATGTACAGACATTATCCCAAACCACAGTTTTGGCTCTTAGAATGGTTGTGGAGGAATAGGATTTTTCCAGACCTAACCAATAAGTGAAACTCCAAGACATATTTGTTTGGAATAGGATGTTTGTCACATAGGTTTTCTTTTGTTGGCATAACAGCAGAGAAATTGGATTCTGAGAAACTTACATTCAATAAATATTGTACTCTTCCTTAACTTTTATTTTGACTCCACTTATTTATTTAATGCATTTAACGCATATTTATTTTATTACAATTATTTTATCAAAATTGTATTTAGTTTTTTTTTATCAATTCCAATACCCCCAACACAACAAAAAATTCATTTGTTATGCTAAAAGTGATAACCATGATAACTGAATGAAAGAGACAGTGTGCCATTGATAGATCAAATGTTAATGGCTCAAGCTAAAATATTTCTCCAGGAAATGGATTTAAAAACTGAGTGCACATATTCTACAGGTTAGTAAAACCAATTTAAAAAAAATCATGGTATGCAGTTATAAACAACATTTTGGGCAAAATAGCTCCAGCTGATACTAAAACAACTCAACAATTTATACATAATTCATTAAACTCATATTAACACAGAAAAGCTGATAAAATGGTCTTTTCTAACAATATGTACCTTAAAATACTTTGCCGACCTTTGCAGAAAATCCCCAACTTGTATCAAAGATTCCAATGCAAGACTAACAATTTTGGCATGTGCAAAATTTTGCAGAAACACACAAATGTAAACTTTCCAGAATAGGAAAAAAAATACACAACCCCAGGCATTTTACAAAGTAGTGATTTTTTCTGTTATCTATCAATCAAGCAAAAGAGCTTGGATGACATAAACATAAATGAATCAATATATGGTTTGAAAATCACTTCATATCTGAAAATGGTTGATTTCTCCAGAGGGTACATAAATTGTCCTGCTTACATGGACAACTGTTTGGCTCATACTTCATTTCAAATTATAGTAAAAGATAATATAGTACTTACATAGTAGCCCATTGACAAAGAAACTGTTGCCAAACAACAAAAATTAATGCCAATTAGGAATAAGTGCATCATAATAAAACTCATTCATATATGCGCTTTCAATCGATGACATCTCAACGGATTCTCAGCCATGTTTTGTTTTTATGAACAAGGATATCAACAAACAGCTATTGTTGTACAGTCAAAAGTCGTTA